CTGAACTCAATCATTATGAGATGCGCGACCTGGACTTACAAGGTCCCCAATTATCAAACCTCTGAAGAGTATGATGGCGCCTGTTCTGCTCTGACGGAAATTATTCTTCACAGTGCCAAGGTCAACGAACAGCAACTCTGCAGGGCCGAAGAAGCGCAGTCCTCGTTTGCGGAACTCGACGTTCAATTACAGCCTGGGCGGGATTCGAGCAGATGCGCCATCAACAAGTGGATAGAAGATAATAGGAACCTCTGGGAAGAGAAGCCGCTGGTAGGGCTACAACCGTTAGCTGTTATCTGGTCTTTAGAATGCCTCAACGACGACCAGAAAATGGCCATCGATACCCAATTACAACGCATCGTTGGTTGTACGGTGGATCAAATACGCCGTTCGCCATCCTATACTACTGAGGCGTGCACACGACCTTCGCCCAGTCTTTCCGAACCCGCAACGGATACTCCCGAGGCTGGTTCGCGAGATTCTTCCCCAGCTTCCACGGGACGCTTTCGGTACACGCAAGAGGATGATGACACTTTACTTGAACTTTCGAACGAAGGCATCCCGTGGCGTGAAATCCGAGACCGCTTTCCCAAACACCCTGACAGTTCTTTAAAGACTCGTTTATGGACACTAAGAAATTGTCAGCTCACTGCTGATGAAGATCGTCTGCTTATTCGACTAAAAGAGGAAGAAAATTGTTCCTTCAGAGATATTGCCCCAAAAATGCGCCGCCACCGGGCTCTTGTGTCGAATCGCTACAATCAATTACGACGTAACCGTGCAATGAATAATTAACATGCCTGTATACATAAATATCAAGCGGCTTGTTGACTTAAGGGATCAAGACACTTTTCGCGGTTGCTCTAAAAAGAGGCTTCGAAAGTTGTACTCTGAGTACAAGTCTCACTCCTTGGCTGCCAGCCTTAAGGAGGTTAAGGTTCATCCTCAGAATGGGATGTGATGATAGTAGGAATGAATGGGAAGAAAATTCCAATGAAACAATTGCTGTTATCGAGAGCTTTCTTCGTCAACACGTGTATAACCACGAAAGTGATTCACAAGACTACTCAGGCACATCATCGAGCATGGCACAAGCGAATTGATGACGATTCAAGTTGATAACAAACTTTTAGAGCTCACCGCCGATACAATCACAAAAGCGTACAGAAAGAACAGCCAGGGGACAGGTCCGGTTTGTGTCATATTTGGTCCTGTAATACGATTCTAGAATATCTTGTGGACAATTAAACAGCATGATATGGTTCTCATACCTCTTCTTGTCAAATACATCGGATTGTCAAAGATCAGCAAAACCAAACAACAGCCCTTGTGACTCTAGGATCACGCAAAGTTTCGACAGTAAATAAGACACAGATCGACGGGATACATATATGATGATGAGGGGTAGAAATTAACTAAGCGATGATATAAAAAGACTCGTTTGTCGTCGCAGTCTCTCCCCATAACTTGACATCTTAGCATTATCGCCATCTGACCTGAGGCAACGAACCAACATTCGCGGAAGGTAATGCGCAGGGGCAAATTGAACCCACGTTTGAGCTTTATGACTACATGTGTGGCCACTATCTTTTGAGGAAAGTTAATGAGTGATTAACTTTTGTCGCTACGCCAAAGTCATAAAATTGAAACTACATACTGTATACAATGCCTATCAACTCCCATCTTTGCTTGCAAGACGCTGTCAGTATGGTCCCCCAGAGCATAGAAAACGACAAGCTGAAGAGTTTGAAGAATTTTTAATGTTAATATATGCAGAAAAAATAAAGCAACACTCGAGTCAAGAACAGGAGGTAGTAATGGCCATCCGAAATGAGCCCCTACAAAGTCAATACGCATTCAATGTTGCCGCTAGCATATACGAACCATTCCAGGAAGTCTTCGGTCTTACTTGGCGACATATTCATACTTTAGCGTTTTTGTGGACAATTATTTCACTATTGAGTCAAATATGGCGAACATTCCAACAATCGAGGCAGTGTCGGCTGCCTCAACCAACCACACAATCGGAACGGCAAAAGCAGCGTGTCAAACTCGCAATACCAATGCTATATAATACTAAGTTACACTTCGTCTGGAGGCCGAAAAAAGGAGGGGTTATAGGAAAACTTGGTGTGTCGCTGACAGATATCAAGCTATTGGTCATTGCAGAGCGGTATAGTGACTCGGAATGGTCGCTTAAAGGTCAGGCCAAATTCTATGGAAGTTTGTCCATGGTCAAATGCGCGACTGATATTCAGTGGAAAATGAAACCGCAATTGTTTCAGGATCTTCCACAATCTTGGTGGCTGAAGAAAAGGGCACCATTTCAGATGCTCATCCTCAAAGAGGCATGTGTCTCAAGTGATGATACGGCTGTAGTATAAAACACAGGTCCTACTAGAATATTGCTCATGAACCTGAACCTTGCCTACTCTTCAGGTGATCTGCAGAGGGTTTCCCACATAGTTTTTTGGTCCCGGGGGAGATCAACCACCCTCCCGTATGGGGGAGGTTGAGGTAACAGAAGGAAACTCAGCATCATGTTACCTTCTGGGGCTGTCAACGAGGAAAATATCAACCCGGAAATTTTGACAGCCTTGAGGCCTCAGCGAACGCGCTTTGTCCTAAGCTATGACAAAGCCTCCCATTCAATTTGATACGTTCCCATGTCTTCTCATTCTTCACCCCCGGTCTCTGCAATCTAGTTTCGGCTAGACTATATCTCTAGGATCTGCGGCTTACATTGTTGCCTGTGGTGCAATTCCAAGTTAGCTTAGTGAACATTCAATCGTACGATATGGGTCCGGCCCCTTTCACATCCGGTGCATTCTGGAGCAGCGCAATCCAAATGCTAGGATGGTTTGCTCTAACCGCCTTGAACATTCAATGGTGACATTTTAAAAGGTTGAAGACTTTCTTATAATGGCCTATATATATACCTCAACCTCAACATTTCACCTCCATGAAACGAGGTGATATCTTCATGCCAGCTACGACCACTCTCATGAGCTGGTGTTTATAAACAAGCAGGCACTTCTACAAGCATCGAAATGGAAACCGAGATCAGCATGACAGCCCCGCCGAACACACCCGAAAAAAACCCTTACGAGGGTGTTTGTCAACGCAAGGTCGATGCCCAAAGTCGCAATTTGGACCCTATTTCTTGCAAGTCCTTTTACTTGCCTCATGAAATAATCGAAATATCTTCTGAGAGTGACGGCAATAGTGATGAGGTTACCGTTCCGAACAGTCCAAGAGTTGTTGAAGAAGATATCAACGAAGGCGACCAGTCCTCTGATAATGCTTCCCGTGCAGATGCAGCCGAGGATGACGTCAATGACAATAACAACAATGCCAACGACGGAAGCATCGTATATTCCAATAGCCTTTTAGCAACTGATTGTCTCCCGGATGGGGGTCACGCCAGGTTTGCTAATACGGCAGAGGGGTCATCGAGCAAGTACGGTATCATCACCATGAGGCTTGACAGTCCTGCAAGTAAAAAATACGGTGCTATCGGGCAAAAGTTTGGTGAAGACGGTCATGTTGACGGCAGTGAAGGAAGTGGCGAATGCAGCAATGGGAAACTAAAGAGAATCTACGACAGATACGAATCACCGCCCGACAAAGTTCCAGAGCATGACCCACTATCAAAAAGGAGAAGAACAGCAAAGCGTCTATAACCAAACTCAAAGATTCCGATATTACTGCCGAGTATACAATTGATCATCTTGGAGTAGTGTAGTGGCTCGGAGTGGTTCCATCAAAGATGAGGAGAAATAAAATCCTGTTCAGCTATACAGTCATGATCATTTGTTTATTATAAAATATTGGTTGTTGAAGCATGCCGCCGTGTCAGGGGCTCACTTCGCCTTGATGTTCGAAGAGGCAGGTCCTTACATTATGATATGGTTGCAGTATAATATACAGATTTTCCCAGTTGGACTCGTATGGACTTTGAGCCTCTCTCGCTACTGAAGCTATTTTGCTATAAGAGGGTTCGGTAGGCCTTGTGGTTGGCCGTTCTCCGGTACATTTGACCAGCGGTGGACGAGAAGAGCTTTCGTGTTGACACCATCGTTTTCACGCACTCATGTTTCGCCCTGCATAGCAAGAAGCAATACCATGGCAGGGAGTATGAGCTCCCATGATGTAGCATGCTTACCGAAACCAAGAGCAAAGTTGCCGTTCGGAAGGATCGACGCTGCAAGAGGCTAACCGTCATTGCGTTGAGGGGGGGTGGTCTGGATCCAGCTGCAAAAGCACGGGACATCAACTGCAGTTAAGAATAAAGACGGATGGACGGCACAATATCCGCGGTGTAGAAGGCTGAGACTGTTGAATTGCATTTCACTGGCCGGGACCAGGTTAGGTTGCATGTATGAGTGATGCTTGCCAGCCTTCGGTTGAACTAACCACACCGAAGAGCACAACCATGCAAAGGACAAGTCACAATTACCATGCTCCCGAGGCCAGCAAACAGTCCCAGGGAGTCAGGCAGCTCGTATTCCCACCGGAGGGCTTTGCCCTGTTATTCGTTGCGTCGTCCTGGGGTGCGTTATCACAGCAACATCTGCTCTCCCTGTCACTGCGAGACAACCCAACCCATGCAATCCCACGATACGGCTCTCAAATCACTTCTTCTACTGGCTAAGATATCCACAAGGCGACCAAAAGGCTGCCATTGCTCGGTGCGAACCACTTTCATCAGAGGCTCGATTGTGCGGCATAAGAACTGCCCTTAGGAGCCACATTTGTTCGAACCTGGAGCCCTCTCAATGTCTCGTCCCATTCTTACTCTTGAAGACATCCTTAACACAACAACTCACCCTGGAGAGCGTATCAGGTGTAGTCCTGTTGTGCGATAAACCCGAGATTCACAAGCGTCACACGAGAGTATCTCGGAATCATACCCACCCTTAACCGCCACACGTATACCCCTTAGACTATGGACTCGGCTCCATGGGATACGAAACCACTGTCACAGTCATTGGTTACCAATGAGCAACTCGGAGAAGGTACTCGTCCCGTGGAACCCACCTCTAGCTGCCGTGAAGGCGGCTTTGAGCGCTTCCCGCGCCATTGCGACAATAGCACCGAGTCACAGTGAGTTGGCCTATTACTCGGAAATGGTAGTCCGAGACCTTAAAAAGGATGTTGAACTGTGGTGTTAACAGCATTGACTAGTAGGATGTATTCATCCGTCGCTTCAACAGCTCAGCAACGCAGCTTATCACCGTCGACTCTGGTCAGGCGTCGCGTTGGACCAGTTGACAGAGATGAGGACTTCGTCTGCAGTAAAAATCCGGCGAGACCTGGCGGATCTCGTCAGCACAGAGGCCAGTCTTTTGATGCGGCATCAGGATCAGGAATGCTTCTGCAACTGGATACTCGAGTCATAACTTCAGACCAGCTTGCCGCGGAAGTCCAAGGTATTTATGCCGGACTGGCTTTACTCGAGAGCAAATGCATTGAGTATGACAGCACACAGAAGGAGACTGATCTAAGCCAAGGGCAATATCACGCATTAATTTCCCTTCACCGGTCACTTCTCCATGAGCATCATGACTTTCTATTGGCATCCCAGCACCCATCGGCGAGCGCCGCGCTCCGAAGACTTGCATCTAAGTATTTTATGCCTGCACGAATGTGGCGTCATGGTATACACTCGTTTTTAGAGCTTCTAAGGCGGAAACTGCCTGGCTCGCTCGAGCATATGCTCACCTTCATTTATATCGCGTATACCATGATGGCATTGCTATATGAGACAGTTCCCATGTTTGAAGATGCGTGGATAGAGTGCCTTGGTGACTTAGGGCGTTACAGGATGGCAGTTGAATACGATGATATCCAAGAACGAGAAACTTGGACTGGTGTATCAAGATCCTGGTATACTAAGGCTTCGGATAAGATACCAATGACTGGACGACTTTATCACCACCTAGCGATTTTGGCACGACCAAATGCCCTGAAACAGTTATACTTCTATGCTAAATCGCTCTGTGTTCCAGTCCCATTCCTCAGCGCTAGGGATAGCGTCCTGACGCTATTTGATCCGCTCTTAAATGCAAATCCAAGTACTTCGCAACGTCTAGACCCAGTTGATGTGGCCTTTGTGCGAGTTCATGGCATACTCTTCTCTGGCGCGCATGAGGATCAGCTCGAGCCCTCAATGAAGCAATTCCTGGATCTTCTAGATAGTCGCATTGGAAGAGAACATGGATGTTGGCTTGAATCTGGGTAAGAGACGTCACTGTAATAACATAAGATCTGTAACAAGCTAACTAGGCTAGGTATTTCATTGGCATCTCATTAAGCTGCCTGCTCCTAGGTTTTGGAGACGCATCAAATGTCCTCATGAATGCCGTTTTAAAGAATCAACAAACAGACGACACTACAATGGATGATCTTCCAGACCCTGTGCTGACTGACGCATTCAAGACAGCGGTGGGGTTTGCAGCTAGCACGTATGAGATCGTTATTGCTCGGTCGGGTGACAAGAACACTTTACCATGCCTTCATACCCTCTTAGTATTCTACTGGTTTATGATGGATTTTGAAGTAGGGAGACAGTACTTAGAGGGCTCCATCCCATGGGAACAGACTGCTTTACTACTTAACTATCTGTTACGGACCAGCGAGTTTAAACCACGGTTACATACCCCGGAAATTCCGTGGCCTGAAGGTGGTAAGGCGCATCCTCTTCCCGAAGACTATGCTATGCGTGGTTTGATCTATACTGCAAACTATTTCCCGGGGAAGTGGTTTAAAAACGCAGCGATTGATGATGACGAAAAATACTTTGAACCTGCGTCAACGGTTAGTAAACGTTGCGAAAGAATCTTATGGCTGGGTTATAGCATGGCAATGAGGAAAAGAAGACTACACTGGGACCAGAACACTAAGCAGTTTTCGGCTAAGAGTAATGAGAGTAATGACGACAACTAATCGACATATCATGACATTTCCGAGACCTCGAAACCGGCTTGATTAGGCAGTCGTGCTGGGGACTCTTCACGAGGGAAATAAAAGGGAACGACGAGCCGATCGCGGTCCGCAAAAGAAACACTTGAGAAACGAGCCTTCGAACACCCGAGGAGTCGCAGAACCCGTTTTTGTGCATCACTAATTTGGTCAAGCTGTATGGGAATGGAGGGAGGTGTAGATTAGCGGCGTCGACACAGACAGCTAGTTAGAATAGGTAACTGCTATATGTCACGGTGCTTGTATGTGCTATTCTTCTAGCTTTTTGTACTCCTCAATACCGCATATTCCGTCCAGCATAAGTTCATCTGAAGCCAACTTGCCCTCCAGAGTAGGAATACCCGCCTCGCAAGAATGTACTCAAGACTAATTCAGGACTACCACTGGTGTGAACCTATTGTCAGGTAAAATATACATATCAAGTCGTACATGTCGCACTTTATAACAGTTTGATTTGATCGTCTTTTGTGTGCTTCTTTGCATGCATATCTTTTGTCTCTATACATGCGTTTAATTTCCACATACGAAGTCATGCAAATGCGGGTAAGACGGTGGCAACAACGCAATATTAAATTGGCGCTCATTGAGTGCAGGAACGAACTGAAGAGAGCACATGTTGGTCGCAATGAGAACTTTCCCGAAATATAAATAATTACAAGTTCCCGCACGTTCAAATCCAACTATCCGTTTTTTTGCCCATTCAACGTACATCTTAGTTGATTTAATTTGTCTTTTGCTCTTCAAAAATGTCTGACAAAGACAGCACACTCTTTATTGGCGATTCGGACCCAACATGCCCAGCCGGAGTGACACCACAGCCGGATGGATATGTATCCGGGCAGTCATATCAGCAAACGTATCAAAAATTCTCCTGCAGTCGAATAGATATGTATCTGAGAAACATCCTTCCTGAATGGCCCATCTTTACACCGGATGAAGTATTGGCCATGCGACAGAAATATCTTGCTGGCCAGGGCTCCGACAACGATCGACTATCAATGTTGGTAATCATAGATTTGGCGGATACTATGAATCCATTTCATAGCCAGGATATTCAAGAGCTCCAATTCAGTCTTCGCTATAGGCGAACTATACAAACCCATGCACTCTTGGCATTGTACTGGAAGCGTCGCGGATTTCATGGCTTTGCGAATGAACACATCACCAAAGCAGTTGCTTTAGGATCCTCTTCTCGGTAGTCCTGAAATCGCACCCGACATGAGGATTCAAAGACTGATACTTTAGCAGGTTTCAGTGGGAAAATTCTCGCCTTGAAGATCATTTCGCCGATATCGTTGCACTCTGGTGTTGCTGCTTTATTATTAGGTAAATTCCCTTTTTCGCGTTCCCCTATTCCTTGCCACAGATAAACCCAACTGACACCAATAGCGAGTATCCTATTCACACAGACATGACTCCAGTTCCACCATCTTTATACAAATACCTGCCGTTACCATCCAAAGACGATATCGTACAAAAATTTGGCACAAATGCTGGAGCCTTTTTCGAACTCCGAGTCGCGTATATTTCACCACGGCTTACCTCAATTCCCCGGCCTCAGCTTGAGTGTCTGCCTCTAGAGCTTGTCAAAGTACCCGCTCCTCTTGTATCGCTAAAAAATCGCTATATAAATACGCACGCCCTTTTAAGAAACCCCCAACAAAGCCGCTTCACGTCTCTGGAGTCATACATTAAGATGATACAAGAATTCGAACCAGCCAACAGACGTTGGGCATTTCCGACGTAATTTCCATTCACTCTTAGAACTCATGGGAGCAAGGGAAAATACTAACATCTTTTTAGAGAACGATTTTGTTTGTATCAGTTGACGGCCATATACTCCGATACGAATCAAAGATCTATTTGCATATTATTAGTTGAGAGGACGCTCAAGTTTTTAGACCCGGTTCCCGACTGCCTTACAATTATGGACGTTAACTCCATTTGGGCCCTATGGCGGAAATTATGGGCAGTCTCTTCGCCATTGTCAAACAGTCATTACCAATTTTGCTGGCCAGCGTTGCTTCCCGCCAATTTTCTCGCATAGCCAGCATCCGGTGAACATTGTAAAAATAGGGAAATAATCCCCAACTAGGCCAACCTCCATGGCCGGGAAAGTACTGGCAGTCATACCTGACAAAACACTGTGGAGGGATATCAGATAATGTGTTTAAAAGAGTAGGGATTCATTGTTGTTACGAGGCAACTGTTCTCCAAACAAGGTTTTCAAGAATGGTGTTGCATCCTACGGTGTCGGCCACTCACCCACTGATTGATAACATACTAGACATATTGGTATAAATAGGGATTTAGCTTCACGACTCGGGACTGTATGTAGGAAAAAAAATTGGAGCAGTCTACGTGATTACTCTATACTATTATTGGTATGATTTCAGCAAACCCACCAAGATTTGCTCACCTACAACTGCGATCGCCAACATGTCGGGTGACCGAGCAGCCTGCGAAGTTTGTCGCAGAGAATGTTAAAGACAGCTCTAGCCTGTTGACTTGGTGCGAGTGTCATGTACCAGACATGACTCGCGGAAAAGTAGCTGCCTAGTGGCACGGGCCGTGCCACTAGGTATATATATGTATGAGAGCTGCCAGCCAGAATTGAATAGAAGCAAGTTCAATGACAACATAGCCACCCCCCGAATTTAAGAGCCGAGAATCTTCGATTCATACGTGAAACCACAACCATACCTATTCCCGTTGTCAAGTCTTCAAGTCTTCAAGTCTTCAAGTCCTCCCGTGGGCAGTACCAGTGCCACGATTTTTTGTACCGGTCGCTCATTTCTCACCGACCACCGTGTCTGGGGTTGGAAGTCTGGGGTGGTGCCTACCTTATTGCTACCACAGGACCCGCATATAGCCACATAGCCGCTTCAGTCAAGCACAATATCGTAGCGGTTCTGCTTCTGCTATCACACTCATTTGGACGGCCAGGCCCTTTTGAACAACTACCACGATGCATTACACATACCGTCATATCTGGAACAATGGAGCTTACAATACGACTACTGATACTACAGCCTCATTCGAGTGGATCCTTGCCTGCCACATTCCACATCAGGAGCCTCCGAGGCCAAGGTGACTCGAGGGCGTGGACAGGATTGGCGGTATGCATCATCGCCTTGTTGACAAATACAGACGACCGGTGAAGCCTCATGCGGGCTAAGAATGGAACAATCGGGAAGGTAAGCTGGAATGACAATCACATCAGAATTGGAATGAAGATGATTGTTGAGCTGGCGCATCACACCTCCTTTGTAGGTATATGCACACAGCTTGTTTCATGGAGCTGTGGAGGTAACATTGCCGGTTGCAGAGGACGCAGCTGATGTGATGAAAAGTGCATAAAATGGAGTCGCCTAGTCTAGACGTGCCACTTGCATCTACATGGATGTACCGGAGTTGTCTTGGTTGGATATGGCTATAGTCTCGCGTCGACAACCTGCTCCGCGGGTTTGTATCACTATAGGGGCAATAAGGGGTCTGCATAAGTAATGAGGAACCCAAATGGCGGTTGGCAGCACAGGGGGGATGTAGTTTTGTATTAATGTAACGCCTTGAATTTCTGCTTAGACCAAAAACCATCTGGTTGTGTGCAAGACTCGCAAATGAGGTCTCAAGTGAGGAAATGATTTGGCAAGTGACAACTAGTACTGTCACACCGTCACATTCATGCAAGCGTCTATGTGACCTTTGGCAGCTCAATCTACGTATCGATGACCAGCTTGGAAGAGTACAGTAGGACTGCTTGTGTGGACGGCACTTTTCGTAGCGCCTCTCTTTAGATGTAAGCGAGGAGGCGTCAGGCTCATTACTTGTTTTACGAGGGTCTGAATCCGAGTAGCATCAAGCGGGAAAGGACAGAAGTAACTGACCGCCCCCTTGCTTTCTTGGACGCCTGTTTAATTTGTCACTTGACCCTGTGTGTTTCTTATGACATGTGGTGGAGCGGAGGACATCGAAAATTTCCACCTTGGCTTGGGGGGTTAAGATATAAAATGCAGCGCATCTTTGCAAGAAAGGTCGTATTCCAAAGAGAATCATCACACTGTTTTCAAAAGCTTACATATCAATCTATATTGGCTTGTGCCCTCTTGATGCCCCATACTACTTTATCAGTTTCTGGCTTCTCATTTCGGTAAACCACATGCGTCTGCCGACACGACACCATGGCTGCAGAAAATGCTCCGCGTCAGCACCCTCAATCTGTCCGACTGACTGTGCATTTTACTCTACATAAGAAATCTGGCAAAATCCTGGGGAAAGGTGTCTATAGCACGAATCCCGAGGAAATGATCAGTCAGGCCCGCGGCATCCTCGCCGGGGTCCTATCCAAGGGAAGTGTTGAGAACTTGAATTTCGACATTGAGGAAGTCGGATTGAAAGGTGATGGAGTCTACTTTTACAACATTAAGGAGAACGGCTTACCCTCATTGGAGTATGACCTAGATGAGGTTGTGTTTCTTGTGACATCGCACTCTATAATCTCACAATAGTTGAGACATCTACAGCCGGGGTTCCGGAAGGTTTTCTTCTTGGTAATTCTTTTTTGGAGTATCGTCCTATTCCAATCTAGTTTGAGCAGCGAAAAGCAGAGAGACGCAACGTCATAAGACGCAGGAATGGAGTAGGCCTATTGATGGGAAATTCTTCGGTCTGTCTCGGGCTACAGATAGATGTTATCGGTACAAGGTTGATCAATACATCTCATCACGTTGGACCACTCTCACTCTCCTGAGGCGTTGAACACCTCCGCTCTGATATGTGGTTACTTGTGATTATGTGTAGGCATGACTGGTCCGTGGGAGACGCCGATGAAGCCAAACAATTTTCTGCGAACAGGTATTGACCTGTCAAAGTGGCTTCACCGGCTTTCACATACTGCCTCAAGATGTCTTATCATTGTATCCCTGACTATAAGCGCATTATGTTTTGTGAAGTGAATTCTTTACCACTTTCAGTCTAAATTCATCGGCTCAGTCGAGACATGTAAGGAACGTCGGCAAATAACCTATCTGTATAGAATCATTTGTGCCACTTCGGCTGTCAGGTAGTTGTCTTTCCCTCTGAAAATGCACTGGCATGGGAAAGAACTAACACACAGGATGTGTTCCGGTCGCAGGGGTTGGAACTGTAGCGAGGGAAGATGCGAAATTGCCTTACGTTGGTCACACCGCTTGAAATAAATGCATCACAGTTTGCTAGTCGATGCCATACCCGGCATGCCCAAGGCTTAATACTGACCTTTGCCTCATGCCACACACTCCTGGAGCAGGTTCCGTACGGCTATCAGGGATACAAGAGACGAAAGCCGTTTCCCTGCCTCTTATATTCTGGCAGGCGATGATTAAGATAAATAGACTGCACTCCAACTTACATGATTTAATGTCACCAAATGTAGTCACTAGAGACAGAGAGGATGAAGGACAATCCACAGTTACAAACGAATAGCCGCGCAGCTAGCGACGACAAAAAGCTGCAAGAGCAGGATTTAAATTTGCCTTTACACAATAGTGAGTATTGATCGTCCTTAACAATCTCAATCATAGTCTCTCGGATGGCTTGTGTATTCCCATCTGGTCTCTCATGTGTCATGAACGCACTCTTGTTACATGATACAAATAGAGCAAGGTATTGTGTTAAAGCAGACAAACAGAAGGTTTCAGTCGATGCTAATATTTGCGCTTTTGCTTTAGTCGGTAGAATTATGAAGAAGGCCCTACCGGAAAATGCGAGGTTTTCCAAGGAGGCCAAGGTGTGTGTCCAGCAATGCGTTAGCGAATTCATTTCATTCATTACTTCTGAGGGTGAGTCGATTGGGAACCTGCTCGCGAGGTGGCAGTGATCACCATGCCAGCTAAATGATACCATTTATTCTTGATGGCAAGCTTACTAAACGACTCTTGGCGACCAGCTTGCGAAAAGGCCTCAGCCCAGAAACGAAATACTATGAAAGGAGAAGATATTCTGTCTGCAATGAAGTCACTCAGTTTCGATCATTACGCGGAGGCTTTAGAAATCTATCATTCTGGGTACCTAAACAGAACTTCCGGTGGCCACATAATGCCAAGTGAGGCCGGCAACGGAGGCGCGCTTGGGCAAGAGCTTGCCTGTGGTGAAGGCAGCGTCGAGCCCAAATACCTGTCTAGACAACATGCCGACGATGATTCTATCACTGATTTTTCCCACCCAGAATAATCCATGCTACAACATAATGGTGGGAAAGATGGACTAAGATCTTGTGAGATTGAGCAATTCATCACCCGCAGGCGTTTCAACTGCTTTCGTTTGCTTCAACATCAACATTTTGAGATGCAGCCGGTGGATTAATATTCAGAGTCGGACCAAGCTTTAGATGCTATTATAAAGAGTCCTATTTTGGTTTGAGACTAGGTGGCCCAATCTAAGAGATAGATGCATTCAATCGCTTCGAAATCTTTGGCAACCTCGAATGTAACACATGAGCTTGTGGCAGTTGAATTATGATGCCATCTAATGGTCTCACATCTCTGCAAACACTACGTCTTCAATCCCTTACTGGTGGGACTGCGATTGCAGTAATAACCTTATGCGTTACCTGTCAGTCCGGCCACCATAGCGCCGGTTTCTCGTAAGAAGGTCACGCAGTTCCAAGCTAGTACTTACTGGTGATCTGTGTTCAGAACAAAGCCCAAGTTTTGCTTTCAAGATACGAATTCCCACGGCCAGTTACCTGTGCTTAATGTCCTGTCTCTGGAACTAACCCCCAAGGACTTTGTGAGATCAGGCAAGAGTATCTAGAAGGTATGGTCTCCCGCAGTTGCTGGTGATATCCCTTCCTTTGGCATTAGGAGCGGGTGGTGCAGGGATCGTACCCTTCTTATCCCAGCTTATCCCAGAACATGAAGATTTGAACAAGGCTGTTTCGTCTTGGCCCGTGCTAGCTCACTTCTGAATACAAAGACTTGCATAATTTAGTCTACCGTCTATCTGTTTAAGTGATTGGTAGGTAATTTGCGAGCCCAGAAATACTGCAGTCTCGTATCGCCCCTTTCTTCCGCAAAGGAATATTAATTTGCTACGCGTCCAATGTCGGGCAGCGACGTTGGTGCAGCTAGGCCCAGCAGCCTATTCCTTTGTTAACTGAAGATCCTTCGGCTGCTGGCTGAAAAATGTGATTCTCAATTCGACACCGAGCGGCCTTTACTCGCACAATGCATACCAGAGTTACGGATATCGCGTAGAGGGCCATTCGTCTTACTATATTTCGCGCTGTTAGCATCTTTTTACTTACACTACGTCAAAACATGCCAGATAGCTGGCCGTCTATAGTAGGTAGCGCCATGCGGCTCAATATGACTTACTTCATGTGGTGTTGGAAGACCGTCGACCCATCATAGACTCCATGTACACTAGACAGCCGCTCACTCAAAATCCCTTCAAACCCCCCATGCCCGCAGTGAATCCTTGTACTTAACAACGGCTACTGCGGCTAGTAAGGCATCTAAAACAGTTCAACAATCTGAAGCTCCGAAACTTCCGCCGCCATACTCAGAAGTGACAGCTTCTGGGTTGCCCATTCCCCCTTCACCGTCTTGCCAGGTGTGCCATGTAGCCTCAAAACAACAGGGAAGCCACACCGGGGGTGTATCTTAAAAAAGGGCTTCTAAACGAGAAACAAAGATGCCTGCAGACGCTGCGATTTTACGTAGCGAATGTAACAGAGTCCTAATTTCCCACCTTGTGTAAAGGGTTCGGCATGGGTAGGCCAACAACGGCATGAGGATCCTGGCGCGAGCTGTTCGCAAATCAAATAATCAACAGCTGCCTCATTGAAACGCATCCAACCAAACTTTGTGCCTTCTCCTTTCTGAGACTGAAGTAGCTTGCTGCCCTCTAGTGGCACCAGTTGTGGCTTTTGGTAGGCGACCGCTGTTCATAATGCAGACACCATCTACGCCGATTATACTCCAATCGCAACATGTCATGTTTCATAAGAGCGGCAAGCTAGCAGCATAGCTGTGCTTTGCCCGGCTTAGACATTGCATTACAATGCATTACCCGGCTTACAATAACTCCTGACGCGTTTGGGTGAGGCCACAATATTTTGTGCCTTGTAGCCGATGAAACGAAGTGGCCAAATATATGACAGCAGGTACATCGACCAACAACGACCTAGAATACTGATCGTCCAGCCTACGACACTACAGTCTTCCATCTCCAAAATAGACAAAAATTACTGCGGCAAAAATGAAGCGACCATGGGAGGCTCATCCACTACAACTATCCCGCGAAAACTCAACATCTCAACTACTGCAGGCACCTACTGAAGGGTCGCTATATGCGATAGAACGGAGGAACAAGGTTTACGCAGCCATGGCCCTCCCCCTCGGAGACTTTCTAGAGATTGGCCTTAAGGGCACAATGTGGGATACAATGCTATGGAAACTCTGTCCAAAGGGTTACACCTGTAACAACGCAGACAGAGTTATTCGAACGAATGAGGAGTATCAGGCAAGCAGTCACCAGCAACATCCCGTCATGTTCTTTGGCAGGGCAACGTCTTGGTACGAATGGGTGGAAACAAAATATTTTAAACCCTTGAGTGAGTTCTGTGACGGAAAGAAAGTCTGTAATTACCCCATGGCGGTGAAGTTCAGAACCTCTCGAGAAGACGTGCGATGTAAGTGTCTCAGTCCGGAGCAGCTATAGCTAGTCTAGCTAACTTGTGTCCTTAAATAGCGCATCAGCAAAGCATTAACAAATCTGAGGCTCTGGCTTCTTATAGATCCGTCAATCTCGATGTAGGGCTCGACGGGCGAACCAAAGCTGACAACGACAGCGAAGTCGAAGATGCGGACGATAGCAATTATGATCCTGGGAGCCTTGAGGCCTTAGCGGAGTATGATAACGAGGACTGGCCTAGGAGAAAACAATCCAAGAGACGCTATACAGCCTCTCATAGACCGCAACTTGCAATCATGAGGAACTGCAATGGTATGCCATGTGCTAACGTTCCTCCATGTGTTGCGACTTGCACACATAAGATAACATGCAAGAACGTAGCTACAGAGACGAGCTACGTAGAAGCTGCAACACCGAATACAGACAGCCAACCTCTCCGTCCGTTTGCATATGACAAGGAGTTAATTGAGAAGGACTATCTTGGAGTTTTCCAACGCGTGCATTTCATTGAGTCCGAACATGAAAAGAAACTCGACTGGGTAACCATTCCACCAATTCTGGTACCGCAACCCGTTCTACTGAACAACATATTCGGAACTAACAGAGGCAAGGATATTTTTCAAGAACTTAATAGGCGTAATCCACAGGCTGCTGAGTTGGGCGCTCAAACTCCAAGCAGCAAGAGCACTCTTCCCAGTCTCACGCTGCCACGAAAAAGGGGACGCTTAGACATGCACGGAAATGGTCGAGTTGGGCAATCATTCGAACGAGACTTGCCGTACAACAGAACGGAATGAATCCATTCCAGCGACCTAGGCTTTAGCAGAGTATG